CCCAGCCATCGCCGACAGGATGCAGAAGGAGATCACAGCACTGGCCCCCAGCACAATGAAGATCAAGATCATCGCTCCCCCTGAGAGCAAATACTCCATGTGGATCAGCGACTCCATCCTGGCCTCCCTGTCTACCTTCTAGCAGATGTGGATCAGCAAGTACGACGAGTCTGGCCCCTCCATCGTCCACCGCAAATGCTTCTAGGGGGACTGTTTAGTTGCGTTACACCCTTTCTTGATTAAAAAAAAAAAAACCCTAACTTGCGCAGGAAAAAAACTAAAACCAAAACCAAAGGATGAGAATTGGCATGGCTTTATTTGTTACTTTTTCTGTTTCTTTTTAAAATTTTGTTTTATTTTATTTTATTTTTTTGGCGCTTGACTTGGGATTTAACAACTGGAACAGTGAGGGTAACACCCATTGGTGTGGAGCAAGAATCCCCCCAGTTTTCCAATGTGGCCCAGGACTTTGATGGTACATTGTTCTCTTTTTTTAAAATAGCCATTCCAAATAATCAACATGGCGATGTGACAGGAAGCTCCTACCTTTCCAGAAGCCTCTCCCTTCCCCTAAGCAGAAGAGCCCCATCCCTCAGCCGGGTCCACGCATGGACAGGGGTGGCAGGGAGCATTGCTTTTATGTAAATTATACCTTATCCAGGTTTGTTTTGTTTTGTTAAAAAATCTTCCGCCTTAATACTTGTTCTTTAGTTTTTGTTTTTGTTTTTTTCAATAGTCAGCCATTAGTGGCCCTACTTTTTTGGAGCCCTTGCCCTTTCCCTCAGGTCTAGAAATATGAAGGCTTTTGGTCTCCCTGGGGTAGCTGAGATGTGGAGGCAGCCAGGGCTTTACCTGTACACTGACTTAAGACCAGTTGAATAAAAGTGCACACCTCAAAAAGTGAAAGAAATAAAAAATGATGTCCCTCTCCAAGGACTAGTCTTTCCTTGCAACATGTCCCAAAGTATGTGAGACAAAGCTTCAAAATCCTTGCTTCCAAGGATACTATTATATTACCAAGTTTGGTAATCAATAGTATTAATAATTCTATATGGTCTGATACAAGAAGAGATACATGAATGGGAGGAAAGGGGCAATATCCTTGTTTACCACGCTACTTAACACCAACTCTAGTCATGTTACTGAACAATAGAATGTACTTTCTTAGGTTAATCAAGTCTATCAACAATATTAATATATTCCTGAAAGAATAATACTGTCATTATGTTTAGGAAATGAGTGATAACAATCTCAATAAATTTTAAAAGAATTTAAACTTACATCAAACAAAGGATTATCTAGTAATGCAATTCTTAGTATGTTTAAAGGTATAGGAAATGTTTTCAATAATTTAATTCCATTAGATGAATACATTTTTAGATATGGAAAACAATATATGATGGGAAAGTCTGGTTTTAGGGACCTCTCCAAAGTACTGAAGAGTAATTGTGTCACTCTGGAGAGTAAGGTGTACCTGATACAGGCCATGGTCTTTGCAATCAGTTGTTATATATCAGAGAATGGGAAAATGACTATGGAGGATAGAAGGAGAGTTTATGCCTTTGAGCTGTGGTGCTGGAGAAGAGTATTGAAGTACCATGAACTGCTAAGAAAATAAACAGGTTCATCCTGGAGAGGGTGAAACCAGGCTGCTCCTTGGAGACAAGAATTGTGAGGCTTTGTCTGACATACTTTGGACATGTTGCAAGAAGAGACCAGTCCTTGGAGAGGGACATCATACTTGGGAGTGTGGAGGGACAGCGCAATAGGGGAAGACTCTCTATGAGGTCGGTAGATTCAGTGACTGGGGTAATCGGGGTGGGTGTGTCAGAGACAGTGAGATTGGCACAGAATAGAGCAGGGCTTAGGGCCCTGCTTGTACATAAGGTCACTATGAGTCGCAAGCAACTCGACAGCACATAACAACAAAAACAATCTGACATTCATTTAAAACAAATTTACTTATACGTTAATAGAATTTCTGGATCTAATTGAATAACTGTAAGATACATTTACACGTAATGAATTTAAGTAAGTCATATACACTTAAAGAATTTCACATAATAAAATCTAGTGGTATATCTTACATAACTTTAAAAACACTTTGTATAATAAGTAAGTTTAGGTCTAGTAAGAAAATAACATTATTCAAGGGTCTCCTGAGAACATTGGGTACCCTTCCATGAAAGTCACCATTGAATATTTATGAGTTAGTGTTAATGCATACGTTCTACACTTTAAATATAGAGAGTGTAGAATTGGATCAAGAAAAATGAACATAACAAGGACATGATCTGACTGTGAGACATTCAATGACTGAAGGCAAGAACAATTAACTCATTCCAGAAGCATTTCAAAGTACAGTTTCAAATTTTATACACTATTCCAATTCATTTCCCTTAATCTGGGAAACATAATTTTACTCTACTAGTAAGAGAGGATTCAAAATGAAAAGTCAGTATCTCCTTCAAGATGATCTGCACACAACCTGTAAGCTCTGGGGAAGAGTATGTATGCTTTTGTGTTTGGTGTTTTTTTATTTTGGTTTATTTCTTTATGATGCACAAAGAGAAAATTTAAAGAATGGGAAGAAGCAAAGCAAAAGGAAGGTCTAATATTGAAGTCTGAAATCCTAAGACTGCTTTTTATTATTTTTATTTCATCAGGATATAAGCAAGAAGAAAAAATGTCATTGTCTTATTTGGCAAATGGTTTACCTAGGCGATAAAGCTACTATTTTCATTTATGGAAGTTTGAGAAGAGCTCTTTTCTCAATGAAATGGCCACACTCTTTACTTAAAAGATACGTATCATGTTTTAAAGATAGCTATTGAATCTTTTCAAAATTATATGGTATATTTAAAATATAAAGGAAGAGAAAATGAAAAAAAAAATTTAAATATTCAGCTTACGTGCAAACTTTATGGCTTTCCCAACTTTCCCACATAAAATTACTTTTTCAATGCTCTTGTACAGATCTTGATTACAATATTAATGGAATGAAACCATCTTTATGAATTTATTTGCTTTACTGAGAAGAAGAATTGGTGCTTTTTAGTTGTACTGTTGGAGAGGAGTTCTGAATATGCCATGAATTATCAAATGAACAGACAGATATATCTTGGGAAAAGTGCAGCCAGAGTGTTCCTTTGAAGCAAGGATGGAAAAGCTTCATCTCTCATATTTTAGTTCTGTTGCTGAGAGAGGATATTTCTTGGAATAGGACATTATGCTTGGAAAGACAGGTCAATGAAAGAAAAGATCAACAAGAAGGATTGATATAGTGATTGTAACAATGCACTCAAGATTATCAGAAATGATGAGAGTGGTACATGTTAAGACAGTATTCAGATCTGTTGTTCATTGAGTCACTGGGAGGTGTACTTGTCTCGATGGCTCCTAACAACAGCAACTACAAGTCAAGTTGTGATTACTGTTACATGTTTTAGAGTTGGTCTTGACTCTTAAAAGACAAAGAACTGTCCCATAGAGCTTTGTAGGCTATAATCTTTACATGGACAAATCTCCAGGCTTTTTCTGCTATGCAGTAGCTTAAAATATTTGACCTTTAGTAAGCAATCCAACATTTAACCACTTGCACTCTCATAAATGACAAATGTATTTTACTCTCTATATTCTCTGCTCCTAGCACATAATCTAGTACAGTGTACACAATAATATTTATTGAGAAAATGAGAGATGTACGTGATTTTTTTTTTAAATTATATGTATCAGTGCTGTTGATATTGTGGTTGTAAGTACCCTAGAGTTGGACTTAGCCTATTGTTGACGGAAACCTCTAGTGGGCTTTCAGAGGCAGTAAACCACATGGGAAGAGATAGCCCATCTTTCTCTTGCACAGAAGCTAGTGGATTCAAAAAATATGCCTTTGTGTTGGTAGCACAACTCCTTACCAGTAAGTCACCAGAATGCCCTATTGTCGATTTTGGCTTATTAATTTAAAATTATGTTCCGTTATGCAGATGACACAACCCTGCTTGCTGAAACTGAGGAGGACCTCATGCACTTGCTGCAGAGGGTCAAGGACTGCAGCCGTCAGTATGGACTGAGGCTCAATGTCAAGAAGACAAAGATTCTCACCACTGGACCAACCGGTAGCATCAGGATGGATGGCGAAGAGATTGAGATTGTTCACAGCTTCAGTTTGCTCTGCTCCACAGTCAACACTCTTGGCACCAGCAGTCAGGAAATCAAAAAGTGTATCACTATGGGAAATTCTGCTGTTAGGGACCTCTCTAAAGTTCTCAAGAGCAACGGTGTCTCTCTGGAGACTAAGTTGCGCCTGATATAGGCCATGGTCTTTGCAATCAGTTGTTATGCATCAGAGAGTTGGACAATGACTAATAGAAGGAGAATTGATGCCTTTGAGCTGTGGTGCTGGAGAAGAGTATTGAATGTACCATGGACTGCCAGGAAAACAAACAGATTCATCCAAGAGAGGATTAAACCAAGCTACTCCTTGGCGACAAGGATTCTGGGGCTTCATCTGACATACTTTGGACATGTTGCCAGGAGGGATGGATCCTTGGAGAGGGACATCATGCTTGGAAGGGTGGAGAGACGGCGCAGGAGGGGAAGACCCTCTATGAGATGGATTGATTCAGTGACTGGGGTAATCGGGATGTGTGTATCTGAGGCAGTGCAGGCGGCGCAGGATAGAGCAGGGTTTAGGGCTGTTGTCGCAAACGATTCGACGGTACATAACAACAACAACATTATTCTTTTTGGAGTGGATAATTTGGAATACTTCAGATAAAAATAAAATTGAATTTAACATCAGAAGAAAATAAAATGTAAAAATAAATGTGGAAGCTTCCTGTTTAAAAACATGTGCTTGTCAAGATAACAAACAAGGACAAGGTAAAAGAACCACATATGGTAATGTTTGGTAGTTACTACTTTTAAGTTTTTGTTTATGTTGTCTGTTGTTATGTGCTGTAAATATATACAGGTATATAGCATAGGGTACAGGAGGTAATGCTAGTTAAGCTTCCTAATAGAAACAAACACCTAGGGAAAATAAACTGCCATTTCTGGGGCCTTAGTACTATTGTCTTGGGGGCCATCAACATCAGTTGGTAAAAACTAGTCCACAAAGACTATTTTGAGCATTCTACTTTGCTAAGTAGCAACTGAGGTCTTAATCTATCATAAGCAGCCGTCTAAGGTGCAACCATTTACCTCCCAATGTCCAGAAGGGAAAATAAAATAAAGAAGAAAATGGAACAAAACAAAAAGATATACTGAAACAATTACCCCAAATTACTTATGAGCCCTGTGAAATTTTGCTTACACAACCCAGATATCGGAAGACCTAGGTAGACCTAGTGCACAGTACCACTGCTGACAGCTGTAAAGGGGGCCACGTATAAGATCCTGGACAGTGTGGGGAAAAGCTCAGTAAAACTAAAAAACAAATAAACAAACAAAAAGATACTAAATTTAGTGATACTCATTAGGATCTCTCATGGCCTAGTGGATGAGGAGTTGTGTGGCAATCCAAAGCCTGAAACTTCCAATCTACCAAATTTTCTGTATGAGAAAGTCAGACAATCACTTCTATAATTTACAGCCTCTGACAACTTGTTGAAGGGTTATCTATGATTGACTGAGTGGTAATTAGAGATATCAGTCCCGCAGAAACTGGTGGAATCCCTGGACTATGACCTGTAGCCGTTCTTTGAACCTGTGACAAAATTAATTCCCTTGATTCATCTTTTAGCAGAACAATGGTGTTGTTTTTGTTGGCTGCCATTAAGTTAACTACAAATCATATTA